TACAAATTGTACAAATTAATTGGAACCTACCCAGGCAATCTGTAAATTTTCAAGCATTTCATAAAAAAATGTTTCGATTAAAGCGTTAGCTTATTGACGGATCAATTCAACCACTGAAAGGATTTGATGAGTCAGAGCATAATTTATGCATGTTTTGCCTGATGTTGGGTTTCACGTCCAAGTAAATATTTCGAAATAATTATGACACATTTTTCAAAATTTTTGGCCGTTAAAGACACCCGTTATAAATAAACCTATTAATCAATCATTCAATATAACTTTGATTTAATATTGATCGAATTTAATCTCTGGATTTACACATTGTCAAGTAAGTAAGTTGAATACTTTTTTATTCTTGGCAGCAAATTTGGCTGCATGACACAGTAAACTTTTTCTTCACAAATTCACGAAATCAATTACAAGTATCAAAATAAACTATTGTGTTATAATCATTTTTTTCTATTAACTTGAGTCATAGTTTAGTCCTCAGTGCTTGATATTTGCGTATACATATTTTTAGAGCATACTTTTAGAATTATTTTTGAATCCAGTTTCATGTCTTAAATAAATCTTGCTGAGTGTTAAGCTGACATGAAAATCAAAAATTTATTATAAACGCCGAAATTGAGCAATCTTATTTTTGAAAAATAATTTGACATGATTATCGGGTTTCGTATAACTAAACTTCTGCTAACGTCAATTTTCCAACTTCGCAACTATAATTTTCATCATTTAACGCAATTTACGTGAAATTAAACACTTTACTAAAAATTCCACCGGAACTATCTGTACTTTCTTAACTCGAAAGTTGATTATTTTATTCAAGTGTATTTTTCTCATGGATCGATCCTTCCCTGTTCAGTCAGAATTTTACAACTGGTTTCATACCGTTACGCGTGGTTTGTTGGTTTGGTGGGCGAAGGGGATGCATCTGCTTTCCCCTCCAAAAACCCAGAATTTTCCAGCTTTCTCCGTCAGTCACTCTTTGCCCGCTGGATGAAAAGGACATGCAGGCTCACTTTCTCTTCACAAAACTGGAAGAGGGAAGGTTTTAGTGAGAAATTGTTGTACGTAGCAGTCTTCTGCTGACAAATTGTTCGAAAATGTTTGGCAGGCAATAACATCGAGTTAAATTGTAATTAAGATTGGTCATAATTCTGTTCATTTCATTAAAGTAGTGTTAAGTTTAAATACATTCAATTCAAAACGCTGGTAAATTTATTACATTGTTTCAAATTTTGAGAAGAAGAGTGTTCTAAATGCCCGAGTATCTTTAAAACTTTCCAAGAATTTCTTGGTAATGGGTTTGACAGTGAAACTGAAACTTTTACATATTTTGAAATTTCGATGTGGTTTCTACACTCTGAATAAAAATGAGTAAAATTTACTCAAGGTTGGGTAAAAAAAGAGGATGGCACAACTAAAAGGTAAAATTTACCCAACATTGAGCAAATTTTACACAACTTTGGATAAATTTTACTCATTTTTATTTAGAGTGTATAAAACAATGTGATCTACCCCTTGCAATTGGTTGAAGGTGACGCACATAAGTTAAATTGCTTTGACAAATTTAGACGCCAAAAAACTATTTGCAACAAAGTGTTATAAAAAATAATTTTAAAACATTTCAAAACGAATGATTACCGTTGAATTGTCCACTTGATGAACATTATTATAGAATTTTTAGAAGGTTCATGGTGTGTGAAACCACTTTATGGCAACGCTATATTTGTCTGTCCGTCCGTCTGTCTGACCCCCTTATAACTTTCGACACAAATGATATTTAAAATTGCCGTATTGTTTAATATTTAATTTAAAATATTAGTATAAAATTGTCACTTTCATTCAAATAATTAATTTAATGACAATCTTTTTACGGTTCAAAATTAACTTTTCTGAAAATGAATTTGAAGTTGCCCGAAATTTTCGTACTTTTGAGGTTTGATCCCAGGTTTAAAAATCCTTAAGACATTTAGAAAGCAATTTGTGCTCGGACGAATCCTGTGCGTCTTCTGCTCTGGGCTTTGGGTCTCGAGGGAAATTGTTTGTCTGGACTTTCCATGCGGGATTAATCGTCCACTTGATCAACGTTCTCCTCAAGATTTTAGAAGGACTACTTTATTTCGGGACTATTTATTCCTTTGTATTTATCCCGTGAATGGGTTGAAAGCACAGAGAACAAAATAATTGCTACATGGGACAGTTCAATAGAATTTTTCTCGAACTCATTTTTTCGGAGTTTTCAGAAATTTTAGATTTTGTTTTCTGGCGAAAGTTGAATAAAAAATATTGTATTTTATTTTAAAATTTTTTTCGCGAAATTTTCAATTACCTGGAAATACCAGACTTAAAAGGAGTTGGAAACTATGTAGATCGTGCCACTGCGTGTTGTCAGGGAGTTCACGCAGTTATTGGTAACTTTGTAAAATTCATAAATTTTAAAAAATTTCCAACAAATTTGTAAAATAATTCGTCTCAGAAATGGTTCCAAAAATTGTGTAAAAGTTTACAGAATTTACTGCTGTAAATTCATGCTAGAAAAATTGATTCAATAAATTTACTTATCATTAAATTTGAGGCTGTACCACGCCGGTAAAATTTCACCTCAAAAAGTAACCAAGATTCCTGGGGATTTAAAATTCCCACGTTTTAATATAGTACTACCCGGAATGTAGCAAACTTCAAATCTCAAACGTGTTGAGAATCTCCCGAAATTTTTGTTACAATTCGGTAGATAATCTTTACCAACGTGGTAGTGCCTGACTATCTACACGTGTTCACAATTTTGATCTTTTTTAGTGTAAATATTCTACTATTTACATTGTTCCACTTTCGTTACGATTTGTATTTTCTCATTTAAACCACGTTCAGCCAAGGGAGGAGGAGAGCGAGAGTGAAAGTTGTAATTGTGTAGGCGTGGGCCAGATTCGAGGCGAAAGTAGGATTTTGACGGATGAGAGATTTTTTGAGCTCGTGGAGGAAGAAAGAGGAATTAATTTTGTTTCTTCGTCTGCTGCTGCAAATCAGAAATCCTGCTGGTACACAGTTCGTTTCGTGGCCATCAGTTCAGTCAGCGGCTGTTCTGTTGTTGCACTTATTTTGGCGTCGGATTTCGAAAGTCGGGGGAGAATTATCTTGTCCTCGTCTTATCTAGGAGACTTACTGCGAGCACATTTTCTTAGGAGAAAGTTAAAGCATTCCAGAATCCAGAACTTCAAATGCTGGTTTGTTTGTGGGCGATCTATTTATGGCTGAACCCCCCAAAAATACATTTTTTACACTTAAATGTACATATAATTTCTTAAATTTCTTAAGAAAAATTGTTACATAAAATTCCTAACATCTTTTATAGTAAACTTTTACCAGTCATCAGTCGCTTTTAAATAATTAGCGTACTTAAATTTGTATTTAAGGATTTTGATCCGCTTTTAAGGTTTTGTAAACCGTTAAAAAAATACGGTAGTAAAAGTTAGCCGGGATTTTGTCCTGGATTTGGACAATAAATAGTCAGGATTAAATACGGCTACATAATTTTTAAAGCTAACATGTAGTGTGGTAAATCTTTAAATATAAAAATCTGTTAAGCGTGGAAATGATGTTCTTTTAGAGAGACTTGACTACGACTTAAAATCATCTTAATACATAGAATAAGCTGATTTATTCTAAGAGGTTTAATCCTCTTACGTAATTCCTAATTGGTGAGCTATTATTTAGTTAACACTCCACGTGACGAGGTGATGGTGGGACTAATAACGGGAGAAATAAGTACCCACAATTAAAAAATCGTGGATGGAGAATTTTACGAATAACGTGTACATTACGAAATGTGGCGATTTGCCGGCTTGGTAAGATTAATAAGAAATCTATATTTTCGAATAATCGTAAGTAATTGACGAGAAACGAAATGAAAATTGCCCAATTTAAACTCCGGACAAAAAAAAATATTGGTGCGTTTTTAACGCCAAGTTAAATCAGAAGGTACGTGGAGCGATGTGAACTAATTGTAAGATAAGTGTAGATTAGTTCAAAAATTAAAATGGAGAGAATTTCTCCACAATGAATCTGAAAAACTGGTCAAGCATGAAATTATTACTTTATTAAAAGTAATTCTGATTCCTGCTGAACAAAATTAAGTTGAATTTCTAGTTTTAATTTGCATCGAACCAAATTTTCGATTAATATTTTTTATATGAAAAAGTGTCAATTTGCAGGTTGACATGACCTTAAAATTAAGTACCAATGTCTATTTCAAACAGATAGGTATGCATAAGTTTGGAAAATTTAGCCAAGAATTTCATAAATTTATTATTTTCAATATTTGTTTTTCGTAAATTCACTTAAATCTTAGATGACATTCAATTACAAAGCAATATTTTGCGTTTACATTTTTGTATGCTGCAAACGTGCCAATTTTCAGGATAACTTTCAAGAATAGCATGATAATCTCGATTTCGTATAGAAACATCATATTGGTAAAATTGGAAGCCAATTTTAGTTATTTATGTTTTGCCATTAAGGTACAAAAAATTCTTCAGGTGACGTTCTGATAACTCGACTAACTCAAAGATGTAACAGGGTGACGTGAATTTGAAATTTACCATCAATGCCTACTTTGAGAGATAAATTTGGAAAATTTAGCAAGGAATTTCATAATTGTTTTTTATTATTTACTTATTTGATAATTTTCAATAGTTCGTATAGAAACATGGTTTTGACATAATAGGAAGCCAACGTCCTTAAGCTGCAAAAAACGTGGTCAGATGGGATTGCTTGGGAGACATGTTTAACAGCACGACAAAAATTTACTATGTGTATTTTTGTGTTGAGCAGATATAAAAAATTTGCAAAATTTAGCCAGAAATTTTATAATTGCTTACTAAATAGTTTTTGTTACAAAACACTGTTTACAATTTTTTTAGTTGGTAATTTCCCTCAAAATTTTAAATGAGGTGATTATTAATGATTCCATTTTTTTATTACCGGTTTTCAGGAGGAGTTAACACCAGAAAAATTTGGAACTTCAATCTACCGGAATTTACACTCTCGGATTTCGTAACGTCGTGACCGTCACAAACGGAATTTGGGAATGGAATGTGAATCAGAAACCTGAAATCATTTTGGACTTTGTCTTTTGGAGAATAAATGAATATTGATGAGTTTTTGGGGTGAAAACAGTGCACGTGTTTAACACAAGGAAAGATATTCGAGTACTAACTGAAGTGTTTGGTGTGGAGAAAGTTTTTGTGACGACAAGTATGGCCTAATTTTTCTGGACAAATTATGATGGAAACGCGACTCGGAAATATGTAAGAAATTAATTTTATTATATCTTCATGATGAAAATTTTATCTCGAAAATATTTTAAAAAACTTTGCTAGAAATTGAATGCAGCAAATTTTTCTGCTTTCTCTTTTGACGTACAATCGATTTCATTACATTTAAATCACATTGGCAACAAAATAGTCACCAAGTGTAGTCATTCAATACCGAGCTGATAAAGATTTACCACCGAATGGTAACCCTTATTTATGGAAAACTCAAATTTAGCACCTTTCCAGTAAGAAATTGATTAAACCGTGGTAACAATTTTTTGAATCTCTGTGAAATTGTTGTTTCTCACCGCGTTTACCACGCTGGTGGTTTTATCTCACCGAATGGTAACAATGATTTTTGAGCAAATTCAATTTAACCCTAAGAAACTGATTAAACCGTGACAATTATTTTTCTGTGATTGTTACCACCATTCTGCATCTAAGATCCTTCCCAACTTAGAAAGTACACCCGGTAACAATTTTATTACTGACTTCTATATTTTGAGTGCACATACGTAATCAGTTAAGAACAGTGTGTGCAAAAAGCCAGCCTTTTTGCTTTTTCTGTATGCCTTTTTGCCTTTTTCAATGCCCTTTTGCCTTTTTGCGTGCCTTTTTGCCTTTTTGATGCCTTTTTGCCGGTTTCATGCCTTTTTGCTCGATTTTTGACGATTGAACCCGATTTATTGTCGTTTATAACCTATTAAAGAAATTGCAGAATCTACAATATGTTTTTAAAATTGTATCGGAGGGTTCTGACTTTCATCAATAATTCAAATTAGTTGAATACTTTTCCCTAGATATCTTCAGCGTTGTTTCTACATCGCCATCAGCTTAATTAATCAAGCTTTGACTGTGATGGTCATATTTGGAAAAGTATAAGAAAAAGCAATGAATAACTTTCACTTTAATTTTATCACGGGGTTTTTGTCTCATCTCGCCCCGAATTAGCAAAAGGGCAAAAAGGCAAAGAGGCAGGCAAAAAGGCACTGCCTGCCTTTTTGCTCTGCACACACTGGTTAAGAATTTCGTCGTGTATTGAAAATACACAGCGTCACAATCTTGTTTACCACTCTCCAGCGAGTGAATTTACTCGAGTTGGTGAGGCAGAGGACGCATTAATCATGGCAGATTTACCAAGGACACTTTGACTCGGGCTATTTATCATTATTACGTAAATGGTCACATCCACTCAATTTTGTCAGCTTTCATCAACTCGGAGAAATCCTGGGAAAATAAATCCAGCCGGAAATGAGACAAGATATTCAGCAGAATATAATGCGTGCTGTGGAGCGAAATGAAAGATGATTTAGTGAATATTTAAGTAGATACGCATTCTACTCATCAATTTTACAAGATATTTTGAAGTTGCGTAACTATGCTTAATTTTGAAATTTAGACTGCGTAAAATTCAAGGAATTACATAGTTAAACGCCGAATGCTAAACTTACAATGGAGGTCTCCCAACGTATGCTCACAGATTAGGACGAAATTAGTGTCAATCGATCACAAATATAATTAGTATGAAATTTGCAAATGGCACTATCTGCCCATACGCAAGTTTGGCGGAGATATTTGCATCCAAAGCGGGAAAAATGCGAAGCAAATTCGGAAAATGACAAATTCGCCAGCCTTAGGGGTGCGTTTTCTCCGCTTTGTATGCAAATATCTCCGCCAAACCTGCGCATTGGCAGATAATTCCATTTGCAAATTTCATACTAATTGTATTTGTGATCGATTGACACTACTTTGGTCCTAATCTGTGAGCATACGTTGGGAGACCTCCATTGTTAGTGTTTTATTTAAAAATACTTATTTGATTAGGTTATCGGAGCAATGCTTACGAGTTATGCACCATAAACAGCCATCAACCTGTGGAAAATTGAATTTTTGTGCATTTTAGACTTCCAGAAAAATTTTCAATGAAATGGTACAAATTTCAAATAAATACACAAATTTTTCGCTTGTTTGTTTTTTGACTAAACTGTTAATGAGTCAGAAATCAGGTGTAAATGAGTTGCAGACAACCTGGCCCACAAATTACCAATTTAAGTACAATTTTTTGTATTTGGAATTTATACAATTTCATTGTAAATTTGACAGGGAAATAAATAAAAGTCTGTCAAATTAGTAATTTGTCATACCGATACGCCATAACTGAAAGTAGAGTAAATTGGTGAGGTAAAAAATCATGTTAGGTGACTTAACTGTATAATGTGGTTCTTGTCCCAATTTAATACAAAATAAGAGAATGAGCATTACCGTTAATTTGGACGGAATTTAATTTGGAAGGAATTTACCTCGAGTAAGAAGAAATGTTTTCTTCGAATAATAACAATTCCGGAAGTGCTGAGAAGACGGAAATGTGGAGAAAGTTGGCCAAAAGTCTTAATTTAACTTTTGAGCTTCAGTACAACACTTGACTTATTGTGAAGTTGGACTTACTTTTGCGACAATAGTTCTCGTCCCTCGTCGTCCTCATTAAAAAGGTCCAGCCAGCCAACTTAAGTTTGGGTTAGGCTTAAGTCAGGGATTGTTATCTGGGACGTCAAGTTTTGTGAAAGCGTCATTGTCAACTTTATATTGTGCAGATTCTAAGAACTTAAGAAATAGTGAAAGTAAATAGGGGACGGAAAATCGCGTAGAATTGTTTGTGTGAATTTTGCCGCAATTTCTTTGTCTGTCTAGGTACACTAAAAATATTGTGGTGACAAATTGTTACTGAATTGGTAATTACATTGTAAGAAATGTGATATAATCAGCCATAGGTAATGATTTATCGGTATTAAAGTTGCTACCGCTTGGTATTAAAATTATACAGGTCCGGAGAAATTTGCTACCGATATGGTCAAACTTTAATTCAGAGGTACATATTCCTACACCGTATTACGTATATTTGTATCACCACTCAGGTAGTCATACTCATACATGGATACCGCGTGGTATTATTTTAATACTGGATTTCTAAGAGTGTTATTTCTTGCCAACTTCCCAAAATAGCAGTTTCATCTCGTCCAACTTGTGCAATCTCAAATAGTTCACTTTGTACGAATGGATATGTAAATCTCGCGATGCACAACTTTCTCCACGGGATTGGAGATGCAGTTGAAGATCAACACATCTGGTGCACATTTGGCTCTGTGTGACACTATAAATCTGGACATGTTTCAGACTGGGTTGGCGCAGAAAAGAAAGAAAGAAAGTTGATCTGTTGAGTGGTTGTTGTTGTAATTCGTGAAAAGACGCGGATTTATGTCAAGCCTTAAATCCGTCCGTGTTGTTCTGTTGTTCTGTGCAATTCTGCGATTGCTATTTCGAGGCTTTCGAGAGAAGGAAATAGAGCTGAGAATGCTTTTAGTGCAGACTTTCTCCATATTCATTTATTAGTTAGGTCGTTCACATGTGCTGTGGAGTGAATGGATTTGAAAGTCTGGGAAGAAAATAGTTTTTTTGGTTCTACAGATACAATAAACTTGGTAAACTTAGATGCAAAAATGGTACAGTATTAATTTAAAAAAACGGACAATTCATGTGGTCCTTGGTAATTTTGTAAAATCCTTTGTAAAATATTTGTAAGTTTTGTAAAATAATTTTACAACCTTTTACAAAATAAAGAGAGGCCCCTTGATCTGATCAAGTTTACAAAATTTGTGAGCCAATTTTCTTCAGAAATATTTGTAGAATTCTGTGAAAGTTTATACATTTACAGGATTTACGGATTTTACAATGTTCCAAAGGCTTGCGTGAATTGCTTCATTTTGGTGTGGACATTGTAACTGGAGCCAATTTTGTACGCAGTCCTGACTCGTTTCCAAATTCATATTAATTAATTACCACTAATAAAATTTTAATTTATTTAACATCTTTTGCAAATTATGTCATTACGGATAACTATTACCCAATCTGGTACACTTTATACTAACAAGGGACACTCACGACCTGTCGTTTGAGTCCAGGGTACCCACTATGTTTTTCAGAATCTACTAGGACCCCAGATGAAGGATTCATTCATATTTCCGTGTAAAACTCATATTTGGCGCCATGGCGTGGCGCCAAATTCGCCAAATTTGCATGTTTTTATTTTTGAAACCGCCATAACTTTTGAAAACCTGTACGGATTTTCAAAATTTTTGGCAAAAATCATGACAAGGAGTTCAACTTTCGTATCCAATGAAATTTTTTCCAAAATTATCACTTTTAACTTTTCGCAAAATTTCGTAATTTTCTTATAAACGGGGGTTCGTCGAAAAAATGCTAAAAATATTTCAAAAATTAGAAATTTTTTATTTTTATTTTTTTCTCAAAAATTTCGACTTTTGTGATCATTTTAAGTATAAAATTTTGAAAATCCGATATAAACTGCAAAAGTTATGGGGGTTTGAAACTGGTCGAAAATGCAAATTTTGAAGTTTGGCGCCACGCCATGGCGCCAAATATGAGTTTTACACGGAAATATGAATGAATCCTTCATGTGGGGTCCTAGTAGATTCTAAAAAACATAATGGGTACCCTGGACTCAAACGATAGATCATGAGTGTCCCTTGTAAGTAATGTTCACAATTTTTTAAAGAATGGCGTCCAAGATAGTCGGTAGACAGAATTTACGGAATTTAACAGTTACCAATCATACTTTAATCACATCAGAGATTGATAATAATTCTGTATATTATTATTCTGTGGCAATATTTACTTAGTCATTTATCAACCGTGGTATACACATTTTTCCATAAAATTACGAAATTAACCTCTTTTTTTACTTTATCAAATAATTCACAGTTGATAAGTTTCCCAAAAAACCCCTCCCAAAAGTGGGAGAAAGTCCCAGTTGTCAGAAGTGGGCAAAAAATTAGCTCGTCCAAAAATGTGGAAGAATTCTGCTCCAGAGCAGACCTCGAGTGGAATAAGGACGAAGCAAGTGTGTCCCCTGACGACTTTCTCTAACAAGGAAAAGGTAGCAAAAAGTGGGTAAAAAATCCTATTTTTAGTCAAGTATC